ACAGCGAAAGCTAGACGGAGGCGATTCGAAGATCAACCAAATGTTGCATTGTCCCCCTCACCGCTCCGCGGGCAGTCGAAATGTCCCATGACAGTCGAATACAATTTACGTATGTTCACTTTGTATTGGCAACTTTAATAATTAATAATCAGTTACTTTTCGTGGTAATATATTACAATTTAACTCGTGATAGTACTGTGATGGTTTTAAATATACGTCATATTGGTCAGCAATCGGGAGTATTTAAAACAATAATTTCATTTAATATGTATTTAAAAGATGACTGCACGGTTTATCGGTGAGCCGGGTGAGGGGAGGATATGAAACTCGCGCGCATCCGCCCTTCCACGTCAAAACATTCCCCAAGATTGTTTTCACTAACCGTCTAATATTAACGCATCGATTTTTTTTATTACCTTCATTTAAAACAAATTATTTTTAATATTGTTTTTTACAATTAAATAAGATAGAGGTGCAAGTGGAAGGTGTGAAAGGATGTTAAAAAGTTGTAACAACGAAAGATAGTGAAATACGACGGAAGAGAGTGGCGGTGGGGGTGGGTGGTAGGGAGAGGGGGAGTGGCGAGTGGAGGAGGTCCGGTAGGTCGAAGATGGTGAAGGTGCGAGTGAAAGATGAGAGAGGAAGTCAAAAAGTTGTAATAACGAAAAAGATTCAATTACAGCGGAAGACAGGGGAGGTGGGGGTTGGTGGTGAGGGAGTGGGTGAGACAGGAGGTCCGGTGGGCCAAAGATGGTGGAGGTGCGAGTGAAAGGTAAAAGAGGATGTTAAAAGGTAACATTTCACTATCCGTCAAATAACGATATTTTTAAATTCGGACGGACAGACACACAGACGGACAGACAGAGAAGGAGACGTTTCTGAATTTTTCATTAAAATCATCATTTTTCGACCGCTTGTATCTCCAGAACGGCTTTATCGGTTTAAAATTTTTTTGTCTCGAATTACTCGTAGCATGCCGCCTTTCAGGACATATGACGTTCAATTCAAAATTTTTTATATTTTAATAGTTATGCACCATAATATGACGTTTAATTCAAAATTTTTTATATTGTAATAGTTATGCACCTCCCAATAATGGACTTTGATGGCTCGGGATAAGAGACTTGTAGCGTCTCACAGTTTTTGAACATGGCCGGAGACGCTACCGCGTCTCCTGATAACGCGTTTTCATCATTGGATTTATTAAAACATTTTGCTGCACAACATATATTTGGCATTTTCAAAATGTATAAAATCAAAACCTACAAGAGAATTACATTATTAATGAAATAGGTTTCTCTAACTTTCTTATTACTCTTATTTTTATCTATGAAGCGTTTATTAATTCGAAGCTTATTCGTAATATATGTACATTGCCTTTCTCAAAATTTTACATAGATGTGATGAATTAACTTACTAGTCTGTAAGCAACACAAGCTGATAGCACCACATGTGTCATCTGTCATGACACATCTGTACGCGTATTCTATTAGAATAGGTTATGGCACATGTTCATGGAACGCAGATGTGCGATCCATACCCCAGCCAATCAGAATCACCCATAGTCACGTGACGAGTTTGCGAGTCTCTCCTTACAGGGTCTCTAGATGGCACCACCTCCCGGGCGTCAAGCGCCAACCAATTAATGTGCAATTTTTCCGCTTTAATTAAATGCGCCAATAAGCGTGGAGGCAAACCAACCTTGTTTTATGCGGATTGCGCCCAATCCCATTTCGCTATTCCGATTATATCATTCTTTCCAAATTTCGCATTTGGTAATTGGGCGTAGCAAGTGCGAAAGTACTACGCATCACGCGACACTCGCCGATTCGATCGACAGATAGGGCGAAAACCTATTGTGAAAAACTGATAATTGGTATGCGGCCTTATCCTCACGCCTCCACGCTCGATAGCGAAAAACCAACCTGATACAGCGTTTTCTATAAATCTGAGCTGGAATTGTACTAAGTATTGAGGCGATGTGCTCGTTAATTAGCGAGATATTAAGAAATGTAAATATGATTTATAACCTCATTTTCGGGGAAATTCGGCATTTCCGCATACCGCGGCCACCAAGCTGGCCCTATATAAGCCAGCGAAACCTTACGCTCCTGTTCATTATTGTTCCACCTTCGACACCACTATAAGGTGTCTCGCGTACGGAAATTCCGAATCGTTCATTATTGTTCTATTCTTTAGAGTACTAGCACGTATTCGCGAACCAAGTCAGTTTAGTCCGTATAAATTACAATTCAATTAATATCGTCTAGTGTTGCGATTTCGTTCGTTTCGCGAGAACCTGTAGTCTTTAATTCGTCGTCAGTGTAAATCGCGAGCGTAAGTGAAGTTTAATTATTTAATAAATTGAATATTGTGCGTATACTTTTTGTTTCTTCTCGAAGCTCCATTCGTGGAGCATAGCGTACTCAGATTATTCGCGTGCTGAATCAACTCCTTTCTCTTTTCATAAACCGCTTCTAATACATTAATTATTAAATTAACGCGACTCTTTCTCTGCCCCTTTTTCTTTGTTTTATGCGTGTGTTCGTGCTTCTATATAATAAATTTACTTTTGAATGGAACATTAGTGAACCACCGCTTTCGTTATTTCTTTCCTCCTCTTTCTTTTATTTTTCTTTTTTTTTGTGTGCGTGTGTGTGTCCGAGTGAGTGCGTGTGCGAGAGAGTTCCCCCAGTGAGTAGCCTCCCCCATATTTGCTGGCAGGAACTGAGCGCTTATTCAGCGAATTTTTCCACACCCCCTTTTTTTTGTATCGCTGCTCACTGGCCATTCGCGATTAGAAGTCGCGTCTCTCACGCTGCAACGAGGCTCGTCGAAATTCCGCGGAACGACCTCGTCACCATAGTTCTCGCATTATGACCAGAACATATGCGTTATCATTTCCCTTCACTGTCGGAACGAGAGACGACGTGCGTTTCCGCTCGGCCCACGATCGCTCTACATTTTCCGATCGGATTTATCTCTGAGCTCGCTTACTCGATATGTTAAGAATTAGATATTTCGAATCTCAGGGTAAGCTCAAGCCCGACCTTAATTCTCGAGACCATTCTACCTGGTCTCGCCGAATGATCTCATACGCCGCGTCCGGTATGTCGCGAACCGCGAACTTAAAAATCCCGGACGTAACATATGCCTTTTTACAAAAAAAATAGCTCTGTACGAGCCTTCAGGAGCCTTTTCTGATTACGAATATCACAATCAAAACACGATTCATGTTATATTTTAGCCATAATTTCAGCATAAAGGCCCTAACACACACTTTTGCATAACGCATAAAACATGTGCATAAGGAATTTTATTGGCCAATTTCTTATGCATGAGTCAATGAACCAATCAAATTCTTTATGTATATGATTTATGCGTTATGCAAAAGTGTGTGTTTCTCGCCTAAAGGTAACATTTATGAGTGCAGATCAGTGCAGATTTAAATCAGTTATGCTCATTTTTCTTCTCAAAGAAATAATATTTTCTTATGAAATCTGTTGGGATTTCATTGTTATATTGCTGGAAAGGCTCGTACAGAGTCAGATTTGCAAATTAATTCTTGAAAATTTTTATTAAAATAAGATCATGTATACACCTCTCAACTGCATCATAATACACATCCAGTGAGATAACAGAACAAATTTATATTATGCCTTTCTTACAAAAAAATAGCCCTGTACGAGCCTTCAGGAGCCTTTCCTAATTACGAATATCACAAATAAAACGCGATCCATCCAGTATTTTAGCTGTAATTTGGAAATAAAAAATTCATCTTCGATTAGAGGTCTCTGGGTCACTCCTATCGACCCTTAAGATGCTAAAGCGACCCTCAGATTAGTTCGTAACTCCTTAAGACTGAACTTAAGACAGTCTTGAATATAAGAACTGACTATGAATACCGGCCTATAAACGTGAGAATTCCTTAGAACATATACTACTGGAACGCTAATTGGCGATGCAAAGAGTTAAAAAAAATTTTTTTTTAAAGTGATGAAAACTGATCCCCTTCTTTTTATAATTATGACATTGTGCCACAAAACAATATGTAGTAATTCTTTTTTATTTTACTTTATTATTTTCCATTATAGCACGTATAAGTTTAGCCAATGTGTCTGACTAGCGAAGCTTCTACCGGCCGCCACTAAGAGCGCCACAGAGAAATCTTTGCATCGCCAATAGGACGCTCAGGCTGAAGCCAATGGAATCAAAGACATAAATCGATTATTCTTTCCACATTCGACTGTGATTGGTCTATTTTCTAGGACTTAGGCCGGAATCAGACTACGCATCGAAAAATGGTATTGAAGATTGAAGTTTAACCAATTTTATATCAAATTGTCTATTTTAACGTAATACATTTTGTTATTGAAAGATAATGAAATGGAAATTAATATAGGGTGATCCGAAATTCGCGGATACGGAGTACAGGACATGATACTTTATGTTAAAACAAACAACTTTTTCCTTTAGCAAAATTGCGTCCGACAAATAGTTTTTGCATGAGAGCTTCTTGAAATTAACGAATAAGCACTCGGATCCATGCAGTGCTCAGGGCCGGGGCGCGCGCCTCACTTGCGTGTACCTAGTCTATGACTAGTATTCATAAATTATGTCTTTTAAGACGCTCATACGGCTCTGTTATGATTAGTTTATGACATCTTAAGACTGTACTTAAGATATCTTATCTTAAATAATAAGCAAAAGCTATGAACAATATCGGCATTTGACCATTTTTCATATTGTGTTGTATAAATGATGAAAAGTTAATGAAATAAATACTGCCTTTATTTCTTACGTAATACATGAATAAAAAATTGTCTGCTTGCATAATAATAATGTGAAAATAAAGACAAATGTAAATAATAATATGCTTCGCGAGCGTTCTTTTTATTTCAAATATTGTACAGTTACGTGATAGTTAAATAGTAAAAAAGAATGACGGGCAATTCAACTGATGATTTAGAATGATTTATAAAATGCTGCATAAATAAAACGAATTCAGCTTGCTGCATCCATCCAGATTCGTTTGCAAAGCCAACGGAGCCTGGCGACGAATTTTCCATAAATGTCGCTTGCATTCTTTTTCGTGGGAACAGAAAAAATGGTGGTATCGAGTTCCCAGCTGCGTTCACAGCCAACGCCATGGTAATCATACTCCCACGCTCTGCCGCGGCTGCTTGACCAACTCTACGCACCCCCTTCAGTGAAATTACTAATCCAGCCTTCGTTGGCACTGTGGAAAACCCGGTCTCATCCATGTTGTAGATGGACATTCCATTAAATGAAGTTTTGTTGAGAATCTCCAAAAAATTTCCAAAAAAATGTTCGACGTTTTCCTTGCTAAATGCTTTTATTCTGTTAAAAGAAGTCATTTGCGGCGTTCGAAGTGTCAACTGAGGGTGTCGGGCCATGAATCCGTAATACCATTTTTTTCCCGCAATCCTCTTTTTTTGCCATTGATCTGGACATTTGCACAATTTTGTGGCTAATTGATATGCTAAAAGCTTCAAGTCCACGATGCTTATACCATAATAATGCTTAGCGCAATTCAAAATATATTGAGCGAGTTCGTTTTCCTCTTCTGTTGAAAATACCTGTAAATAAATAAGCGAAAATAAATAATAAAGATTTAAATTAAGTCAATGAAAATAAAACGCTCACTATATTAGGTTGGCGCTTGTTGCTTTCACGAAGACAGCTCATCAATTTATCATCTGAAACGCTTGACACATCTTCGAATTTATCTTTCAACTTTTTGCAATGGCGTTTTAATAAACAAAAGTCCAGGTCGAAATCTCTTCCAGTCGATCGATAACCTTTATTTTCAATTAAAATCTGTTTTACAGCGCGTAAAAGCGCATCGAAGTTGATTTCCTTTGACTTAGAGGCTTTCTTTGGGGTAGACATTGTCTACGAATTAAAAAAAATAAATTAGAATATATGAAAATATTAATAACGATGACGTTTCACTATAAAAATCTAATATAGACACTTGATATGAGAAAAGTCAAGTGGGTCGTATATGGTGCTTGACACTGGGTCGCAAATGGAACTAATGATATTTTCCAAAAGTCATAAAAAAATTTGGTTTCGTACATATATTCGTCCACATCACTATTGAATATAAAAATGCATTGAAAATACTTAATATATATGCACTTCACTCACCGTTATCACTTGTTTCGACAGAATTACAGCACTAACAAAATACTTCAGAAAAGTTTCCCAAATTCTAATTTGTATACAATGCCGATAATTCCTATACTAGTACTTCCAATCACTTCCAGTGACTGTAAACAATTGCCGCATTCAAAAACAATAACAGTACGTCGAACCACAACACGATTATAGCACCAATACATACAAATACCGAGGTGGGTCGTATATGGTGCTGGGTCGCATATGGTGCCTCTCCCCTATCATTAAACTTAAAGAATAAACTTAAATTTATTGATCAAAATTATTAAAATATCTATGTAAATATACAATTTATACTAACTTCGATACATTGCACATCCTCCCTCTTCTTCCTCTCTCTCCTCCCTTCCCCACTACTCATTTTTTTCATTTTATTTCACTATCTTGTCGTATAATATGGATTTTTCCCATAAAATATATCGTTTAATTAACTAGTCTTTAAAAATTCTACCTCTAAAGATCTAAGAGGTACCATTCTTACACTTATTTAATTCTAATGACATGTATCATTTGTATATGTATATAAACTTACCTTTTTAAAAAAAAAAGGTAGAAAAAAGCGCTAAGAGTGGGTGCTGTTGGTCAGAAAACCATTTGGGCCAGATTTACCAACGTCAATTACTTAATCGACTGTGAAACTGACCTATCACATTTGCTGTTTAGTAGAACCATCTTTAAAAACCTACGTGATATTATCCTTATTTACTTAATTCTAATGACATGGATCATTTGTATAAAAGATTTGATATCAATAGTAGGCGCCAAGTTAAATTCTAATCTTTAAAAACCAACGTGGTATTATCCTTATTATTTAATTAAATCAATGACATGTATCATTTGTATAAAAGATTTGATATCAATAGTAGGCGCCAAGTTAAATTCTAATCTTTAAAAACCAACGTGGTATTATCCTTATTATTTAATTAAATCAATGACATGTATCATTTGTATAAAAGATTTGATATCAATAGTAGGCGCCAAGTTAAATTCTAATCTTTAAAAACCAACGTGGTATTATCCTTATTATTTAATTAAATCAATGACATGTATCATTTGTATAAAAGATTTGATATCAATAGTAGGCGCCAAGTTAAATTCTAATCTTTAAAAACCAACGTGGTATTATCCTTATTATTTAATTAAATCAATGACATGTATCATTTGTATAAAAGACTTGATATCAACAAAAATTTTATTTAAATAAATTTTTTCATTGTTTTTAAATTAATTGTGATATAATTTTTTTAAAAGAAGAATTAAATCACTTGATTTCGAATAGGAAGATCTTCTAATAAGAATACAAAGGCATATACTTAGGTTTCATTATATGAAGATAAAGATAGTACACCACTTGTGTTTTACTTTTTAATTTGGTAGAATTTAACTTGGCGCCGATTGTTGATATCAAATCATGTATACAAATGATAAATATCATTAAAATTAAGTAAGTAATAAGGTAGAATAACTTGGCGCCGACTATTGATATGAAATCTTTTATACAAATGATACATGTCATTAGAATTAAGTAAATAAGGATAATATCACGTAGGTTTTTAAACATGGTTCTACTAAACAGCAAATGTGATAGGTCAGTTTCACAGTCGATTAAATAATTGACGTTGGTGAATCTGGCCCAAATGGTTTTCTGACCAGCAGCACCCACTCTTAGCGCTTTTTTCTACCTTTTTTTTAAAAAAAGATAAGTTTATATACACATACAAATGATACATGTCATTAGAATTAAATAAGTGTAAGAATGGTACCTCTTAGATCTTTAGAGATAGAATTTTTAAAGACTAGTTAATTAAACGATATATTTTATGGGAAAAATCCATATTATACGACAAGATAGTGAAATAAAATGAAAAAGATGAGCAGTGGGGAAGGGAGGAGGGTAAATATATAGATTAGGTGAGCCCCCCTTCCGATGATCTTGACCTTGACAAATGTTGTCAAAGTCATGACCCTGTGTAACCTCCCGCAGGTTTTAGGTGGCGGTCACTGTCCGTTAAAAAGATATTAACAAAAAAAGTTTCAAAATTAACGAATAATTTCTGCCATATATGTATTATAACAAGTACTATTTTACATCTCCTTCCGTTTAGAAACGTTGAACTTTCCACGCGAAGTAACTCTCACCTCCCCCAACCCCCTGCGAAGGGGCACACGACTTCTACGATTGTACTGTTGCGTTGCTATGATAGTATTATCGGGACAGACCTCTGTGACGGTGTGGGTGCGGGGGGGGGGG